GAGAGAGAGAGAGAGAGAGAGGGAGGGAGGAGGTGTGAGAGGGGGACAGATGGGGAGAGAGAGAAAGAGGGAGAGTGGAAGAGAGAAGGAGAGAGGAAGATGAGGAAGAGAGGGGAAGAGGGAGAGTGGGGGAGGCGGGGGAGGGCGGGAGACCACCTTGAGTCCAGAAGAGCCTATCTACGATGCTGCACACACCACACACACCGGATGCATGGCGAGCTGGGGTGGGGGTGTGGAATGAGGAAGGGACCGGTGACCTGCTGCCGTCTCCACTCTTCGGTGGCGCTCAGTACAGCTGGCAAGCCCTCTGCTCCCTCGGCACTGGCTCCAGGAGGGTTCCAGGCGGAGGACTGAATTGTCTTCGCCTTCTCCCCGCTCTCCCTGTCTTGGGGTCCTCACACACATGCTCAGCACACCCCATGACTTTAGAGTTCCTGCTATGGCCCCCGGGAGAGGGCGTGTCCTGTCTGCGCCTGGATGCTCTCTTCTTGACAGCTAGGGAGGGATCCTCTGGCCCCCACCAGCCCACTCCACAAGCCCACTGTTCTGGTAAGTGATAATGGTCCTCGTCCTGCCCAGAAATCCCGTCCCGTTTCCTGTGCTGGCCCTGTCAGCTGCTCGCATCTGCTCTGCTCCCCTCCAACCCTCCTCCCAAACCTTAATTACAGGAAATGGCCTGCCTGTCTTGGGCCTGCTAATGCTGCTGTATCGCGGAAAAGTGCAGTCTTGTCTTTCGAAGATGCACACCAAGTACTTAGGGATGAAGTGTCACAATGTCACAATGTCCTTTTGAGTGATTCAGGAAAAAAAAAAAAACAATGAACAGAAAAGGAAAAGAGAGGAAGCAAATATGGTGAAATCCCCGCCACAGCGGAGTCAGGGTGGTTGGCATACAGGGTCTCGGTGTGCAGTTCTTTTTGCTTGTCCACATATCTTACAAGCCGTGTGTCACACCACAAAAGGTGGGGAACGGGAGGAAACCCCACTCCCATGCTCACCGAGGACAGTGAGACCGGCTGGTGGGGCTGTTAAATGGCTCCTGAGTCCGTCCCTCCTTGTCCACCGGCACTGCCACTGCCCAGGTCAGGCCTCCTCACCCCGACCACATCCTGGAGGCGGTTTCCTCACGGGGCTCCCAGACCAGGCGGCTCCGTTCTCCTCCACGAGGCTGACCCGATGGGTCCAAACCCGGCACTACAGCCCCCAACGCCCTCATGCTCTGACCGCCGCAGGCTCCACCAGCTTTCCCTCCCACTGCTGCCCACCCCTCCGCCAGACCGCAGGTGATCCTCCCGCCACGTGGGCCCGTTTCCAGCTGGAGCCGGACCACCCTGGGTCAACTGCTCTGCCTGGAAGGCCTTTCCCCTCCTGCCCATCTCCCTCCTTGGCCACCTGACAACCCCTCTTCACCCTTCGGGACTCAGCTCTAGTGCCTCCTTTTCCAGACGGCACCTTCGGTCTCCTCCCGTCCTGCCTTTCATCCCCCCTCCTCCTTATGCCACCACCTCACTGTGCACACACACGTCACCTTTTTGTGAACAGTGGCAGGGCCTCACTTATCTGTACAAAGCCAGATGTGGCATAGGCACAGTGCCTCGAACAGGCACTGCTGTGTATTAGACAGGCAGCTGTTACACGAATGAATGAAGCGTATGAATGAATGAGTGATCCTCTAAGGTAGAAAAGGGGGAAGAACCTCCTCCTGATTTGCATACCTGAACACTAAAGAGTCATTATACTCTCGATTCATTCATTGTCCATTTAATATTTACTAAGAGATTATCATGGACATACTATGAGGCATATAACTATTAATACCTTCATACCTGAACCAATCTTTCCTCCCTCCCTCCCTCCCCATTCCCTTCCTCCCTTCATTCCTTCAACACCTGACCCTTCCTGAACCTCTGCCAGGTGCTGGGGCCCCTGTGTTGAGAGCTGGGAAACGTGCAAAGATGAACTGGGCAGAGGCCACAGCTCTAGGGGGGGAGGTGAGGCAGGAGCATAAACACGACGGGAGAGTGATCAGCGTCATAAAGGAAATACAGGCCACGGGCAACGGGAGTTCAGAAGAGGAGACGTGACTCCTAGGTGACCCCGGAGAGGGGACGGGGGAAGACTTCCTGGGTGAGCCGACACCTGCACTTGACTTTGAGGGATGGGGAATTTCAGGATTAAGCTTTTGGAGGCGGGAGGGCAGTGTGGAAACAAAGGCACAGGGTGAGGCCGTGAGCTTAGGTGCAGGGCCAACAGAAATCTGGCTTTGCTGGAATGTCACTGAGGAGGTGGCGGGACATAATGTTGGGGAGGTGGGTTGAGCTCACGACAGCCTTGCGAACCAGGAGAAGGCGTTTAGCTCCTGCGAGTGTGGGGTGCCACGGGAGGTTTCTGATGCGAGGGTGAGTTGAGCAGGCGGGTGTGTGCTTCCAGAAGGTCATTCCAGCAGGAGTGTGCAGCAAGAATCTGTATATTTAACGTGTCCCCTTAACAGTGCAAAACCCCCAAGAGCTTTGTGGACTTCATTTTGCAAGGGGCTTAGCTCCAAAACTTGTGTATGGAAAACATTGAACACATTTCTTTAATTTTAATTGAACTGAATCTAAGGTCATGCGTACATCAGTGAATATACAGACATCTGTATCTCTCTCAGTTCCCCTTAACTGAGAACTCTCCCCAGCAGGGATCGTCCCCTAGCCACACTGCTGCTCCTTGTCTCGGCTTCCTGTTGTCCCAAAGCCTCAGCACTTCCTTCTTGTCCCTGCGACAGCCTCCTGACTGGTTCCACTGTGAACAATCCCAGCAGGGCACCCCTGCTCTCCAACCTGTCATGGCTGCCTCCTGCTAACTGGCCTTGAAGACCCTCCTTGACCAGGTCCACGCTGATTTCCTCTCCATATTCCCTCCACACCCAGGTCCTCTCTATTTCCCATTCCTTGTCCACACGCAGCCCCCACTCCAGCCAGACGTGTGCGATCCTCCTTCCGCACACCTCCAGTCAGCCTGCCTCCCCCACCTGCTCTTCTCATCGCAGTTCATCCAAACAGCAGCTCAAGGCCCCGCAGTGCCAGCAGCGTGATGGAGTGTGCAGAGTCTCAGAGATCTGGGTTCATGTCCCAGCTCTCTGATTCACTGTGCCAGCTTTGACACACTGTGCATTCTTTTGGAGCCTCAGTTTTTTCATCCATAAAGTAGGAATAATAATATTCCTAGCAGACCGCCTTATCCCCCTTACCCACAGGGTATACACTCCATGACCCCCAGTGGATGCCTGAAACAACAGATAGTACCAGACCTTACATATGTATATATATATATCTACCTATGATAAAGTTTAATTTTTAAATTAGGCACGGCAAAAGATTAACAACAATAATGACAACATGCTGTAACTAAAAGTTATGTGAATGTGGTTTCTCTCTGTTTCAAAATATCCGATTGTGCTGTATGCACCCTTCTTCCCGTGACCACGTGAGATGATGCGATGCTGACGTGACGGGGGGGCAGGGAGGGGGGCGCATGGCACAGGCCCTGGGACAGAGCGCTGGGCAGCCGCTGACCTGCCATGGCAGGAGGGGGACCGCCCGGCCACGACACTGTCCTGTCTCCCAGCCACAGCTGCGATGCCTTTTCCGTCTGAACTAGGCTCCTCCGTGCGCCGAGGCTGCGCCGTGTGTGGTTTGAGTACAGCACCCAACTAGCACGGATTTCTGTTCCTTCTTTACAATTTCACAGGAGACTCGTTTTACTGTGAGTCTTAGCAACCTAAGCATGCGATTTTTTTCTTTCCTTATTAAGTTGAGAACTTTCACCTTTTCCCTTAAAAGAAGCACTTTAGGACTTCCCTTTGGCCTATGCAAATTGCTTGCATCACCGCTCTTGCACTGCGGGGTCACTAGTAAGTAATGTAAGGGCGACTGGGACTCAAGCACTGCGACGCCGTGATGATCCGATAACTGAGGCCGCCACCAAGTGACGGACGGCAGGGGGCAGACACAGCGTGGGTGCGCTGGACAAAGGGAGGGTTCACGTCCCGGGTGGGAGATAGCCGGGCGGCGTGCGATCTCATCAGCTACTCTGGATGGCGCACAGTTTAAACCTCATTGTTTACTTCTGGAATTTTCCATGTAATAGTTTTGTACTGCAGTGGACCATGGGTATCTGAAACTGCGGAAGGAGAAACCTCAATGGCGGGGGGGGGGGGCTCTGTTATTTATTACTACTGAGAAATAATGTCTATTTGCTACTAGGGCTTACTATTTGTAAGAATAGGGCGGCTGTGAAGAGTTAGTGAGACAACATGTGTGCCCGCCCCTGTGCTTGCTAAAGGTGACGCTCCTTCTTCTCCGACTCCTGGAAACTCCAGAAGTAATTCCTGTTACTCAGGAGCTTATATGGAAAGAAAATTATATTCTGAGTGAGTACGTGCAAAGCACCAGACATTGCTGGACTTCTATAATTATTCTCTCTACAGCCCTAAACCGTAAGAATTCTTGTCCTCATTTTATAGATGCAGAAACTCAGACTGAGAAAGGGAAGCGGTCTGGGCTCACAGAGCTATAAGCCGACCCTGCTCCTCCTGTCAGAGAAACAACCACAGAACCATTATTAAATATTTACTACGTTCCAAGCACTACGCTGAGCACAGTGCACACAATGTCTCATTTAAGGGCTTTATCCTGAGAAGCTGTTATTATAACCCGCAATGCAGAAGGAGACAGTAAGACTCAGAGACGATAAAGGCCTTAAACAAAGTCCTGCAACCAGTACATGGCTGGGCTGGGATTCAAACTGGGGTTCGTGTGACGACAAGGCTATGTATGCCCTCAGTTACTCTGCTGAGATGGGCCTTTTTCCAGGTCCTCCTGGGCCCCGCCCAAGCCTGGGGTCCTAACGGCCACTGTTGATGACGAGGACCTCCAGCTGGGGTGGGCAGGGCCAGCTCCCAGCTGGGTGTGCCCTGAACAACTGGCAACGGTCACTGTGCCGGCCCAGACACTTACCCGATGGTGCAGCCAGCATCAGCCTCGATGGTCCAGATGCAGTTGAGGTTGTGTTCGTACGGAGCTGGGTACCCAGGGGACAGCACCTGCCCCGACGCCTCTCCTTTGATTGTCCCTCCACACTCAGCTGAAAGAGATTCCAAAAGCGTGAGCTTCGCGGGGTGGCCTGTGTGCCAGCAACAACTCGGCGCCTCCTCTTGTCTGTGTCCCTGAGTCCCCTCATGCATTCCAGTGACTGAGCACAGCATATGGAATGCCCCCGAATGTATTCAGAATCTACAAAGAACTCCTACACCTTAACAATGAAAAGATGAAAAGCCCGATTTAAAAATGAGCCAAGGATCTGAATCGACATTTCTGCAAACAAGCACATGGGGAGGTGTTTGTCATCAGCAGTCATGAGGGAAAGGCAAATTAAAATCACAGCGAGATACCACTTTACAGGTACAAGGACAGCTGAAATAGGAAACACCGACACTAGCAGGTGTGGGTGAGGATGAGGAGAAACCGGAACCCTCACACGCTGCTGGTGAGAGTACAAAATGGTGCAGCTGCTTTAGAAAATGGTTTCACAGTTCTTCAGAATGTTAAACATGGCTACCACGTGACCCTGGCCATTGGGCTCTGAGGTATACACCCAAGAGAGATTAATACATTTGTGCACACAAAAACTTGCATACGAATGATCACAGCGGCATTATCCATAATAACCAAACACTGGAAACAACCCACATGTCCACTAACTCAATGGATAAACAAGCGTGGTGCACACACACGGTGCATGAACTGATGTCATCAGAGCGTGCGCAACATGCTATTACCATGTCTATCTCCTTCCCAAGACTATAAGCTCGGTGGCAGCAGAAACCTCGTCTGACTCATATTTGCACAAATGCCTAGTATACTATAGTGTTTGGCACAGGATAGATGTTTTAATAAATATTTAGCAAATGAATAGACAGGTGGATGATCCAATGGATGAACAAGGCTTATTGCTTCCCAGGCAAATCATTATAACAATCTGGATAAGGGAGCATGATAATGAAGAGGAGGAGGTTTATTGCAAAGCTTTTAGGAAGGGGAATGATTGATGAACAAGATCCTGGAAGAAACAGGAGAGAATGAGATCAAAGTTACAAAGCCACAAATTTACTTGTTGCTACAAAGGAGCCATTAAGCATTTCTAGAGCAATGTGGCTCAATCTGGGACCACTAAGCCATGGCTGGGGAAGGGGCTCTCTGCCAGTACGGCTGCTCATCAGACTCGATTCTTTGCTCAAGCCTCACTTTGAGTCCTCCCCCTGTGGTGCTGTTGGGATGGGAGGTACCAACCCGACTGAAAGATGCAGGACTGAATGGGCAGCCCGTAGCAGGAAGCAGGGTAGGGGAGAAAGGATGAACTGTAAGTAGGGGAGAGGAAGCCTGCCTGCTCCCCCAAAGAGAGGAGGTAGCTCAAAAGGCAGCAAGACATTACCCATGCCCATGGCTGGAGTTTATTTCTGTGTCCAGATGGAGAAGCCCCTCTGGTTCCCAGAAAGTGAGTGTTGGAGGAGTAGCCCTGGGAGCACCTCCTAAAGACACAGCTGCTTTCCTCATGGGTCACTTTGTCTGAGGACAGGTGGGTGGGCAGCAGGGGCTGTGTGGCCAGCCTGTGGCAGCTTCACCAACAAGACCATGAGGTTCTACTCTTTCTGGTCCTCCCATTCTTCCCGCCCTAGAGGTTTGGACTGTGGCATCCAGTCCTCACTTCATCAATGAGGAAAACAACTGGATGTTTTCAGTGGCAGCAGTCATTTCTGGCAGGCCATGATAAAGCCTACGACAACATGACATATGTAAAAATATACACACATAATCCCAAGTACACAGCCTCTCTCGCCCCAGTGGGGCCGGCCGGAGTATCAGTGGGAAGGCCTCTGAGTTTCAAAGTATAAATATTCTTCCTAGCACTGCTTCAGTGGATCCTTGAAGTTCAGTCCAACTGGCAAATTTGATATTCAAAAGAACCTTACAGTGAACCCTTTCTGCAGAGCAAATGATTGTCTCACAATGGGAACCATCCTCTCTCCTGCCCATTTTGCTTGCTCTGGCTTGCCGGTGGCATGGTACCGGTGTCTGTTTATGCGTGAGTCTCCCTCGCTGGCCTGGGGCCTGCTCGCCTCTGTCTTCCTAGGGCCTCACACAGGGCCTGGCACATGTATGAAAGAAGGAAATAAAAACAGGGATGCAGGAAGAAAAGGATGGGGTGTGAGTGCAGACGGAGTCAACCTCAATCACAAAGACAGAGGAAGACTCTAGAGGCTACTCAGAGGCCACTGCCCTGGTCTACCAGACTTCAAATCCTCGCCTGTAGACACTGCTGACAGTGCTGGAAATCCTGTTAAAATACAGTTGTCTGGGGGGAAAGAACGTTGGCTGTTAACACTTCCCGCCATGCCGGCTCACACCTTCAGCCCTAGAATGGCCACCTCCCACCCTGCTCCTCCTGGTGATGAATTCTTACCCATCTTTCAAAGTTTCGATTGAAATACCACCTACTACGCCGAACTTTCTGGTGTCCTCCAACACTTGCACATAACTCTTATTTCAGTGCTTGTCTTGCATTATTAATGATCTGTTTATAAGTCTCTTCTCCTTCCTATGGTACGGGCTCCCCAAGGGCAGGGAAAATGCTTTCTTCTTTTCTTTTTGTATTTCTCTGCCTCTGCTCACACCCAAACACACACTGGCACCAATACTGTCACGTAGCACTTGGTGGGCACTTACGCGTTTTCCAGTGGGTACTTTGTTCTTCTATGATTAACCAGTGATGCAGACACACTGAGACTGTGGGACCCGGGGACAGCGACAGAGAGAGAGGCATGCCTGGTGTTTGGGGCGGGGAAGCCAGGCAGGGCCGTGTGTGGGAATGCTGGGTGGCAGGGGGTAATGCATGCAGTGAGCTGGGTAAGGAAGGTGAAAAACCAGGCAGACAGAATGGCGCATTTCGCCCATTTCACACTTCTGCCTTGGATCGGACTTCTCTTGCCCTGGGGCACAGGGACAAAGCTTCTAGAGAGCCTCTGTTGATGCTCTGGGGGCACCACAGGCTTCCGAAGATGCTAGCTCATTGTTCTAGTCTTCCTTCAGGGTGAGGTGGATGATAGTTCATGGTCTTCCCCTTTCTTTCAACATTCCCCAGAAAAGGGAGCCCGAGCGCCATGTTGCCCATAAAGAAACTGAGGCCCAGCGTGGGTTGGAGACTCATTTGAGTCTTGGCATCGCAGGAGCCCCTGGGACCTGGGCAAAAGCTCCGCCTCTTCCTAATTGGCTCTCCCACCCCTTCTCTGACACCAGTGTTACAATTCTGAGGGCATACTTGGCTCTGGTTCCCCTTGCTACACGTGTGACAATGGCAAGCAGGAGGCCTCTTACCGACACAAGTGGGGAGAGGCCGGTCCCAGGTCCTGCGCTCGCCGCTCAGACACAGCAGCTCCTCGCTGCCCCGCAGGCTGTATCCAGGGTCACAGTTGAAGGACACGGAGCTCCCTGCAAAGTGGCCTCCGTCATGGACCTTGTAGCCAAACTGGGGGGTTCCTGGGTCCTCGCATCTGATGAGTTCAAAGCCTGGTGAAGAGAGAAGATAAGGTGAGTGAGACCTGTTGTGGCAGGAAATGCGCTCCTTCAAAGCCCACTTGCTTGAGGCATAAGTGTCTGGGTTCTGACGGACTCACTGGGCTTGGGGCCGCTGCGTGGCTGTGCCCAGGCGATCGTGTGTCATGGAGCGTGTGTTCCCCTGTCGCTATATGTAAATGATTTCAGTTGTTTTTCCCAGGATAGCTCTTTAAATAGTTTTCAGGCATATGGTTTGAATTTTCTATTTCTTTTGTTTGACCCTATAGCGTTTTGCCTGTGGGAACTGTTCTTTCCATTTTGTTCACTGAGATATTCCGACGAGATGGCGTAATGTGGAAAAGTCACTTTAAGTGCATGTTTCAAACCTCCGTTACGGCCTGCTTGACTATGCTCTTCTGCAAAGGGCTGGAGAAGGAAGCCCCTGAGGAGCTGCTACTATACGGTGCCTCATGGGCTCTCTCTCGTTTGTTATGAACAGGAGTCTTACAGGAAGCATAATTATGTGCATTTTACCACTGAGAACGTTGACTTAGAAAGGTTAAATAAATTGTTCCGAAGTCGGAGTCTCAGATGATAGAGATGGAATTCAAATACGACTCTATTGAATCTTCTTCCACGGATCCGCCTGCTGTCACAGGCCAGGCCCCTCTGCCCGCTCCCAGCTCAGGTGCGAGGGGTCCCGAGTAGGCTCACTGGATGTGTTTTCTCTAACAGGTCTACTGGGAGATCATTCACACGCTGAACATTCACCCCTCTGAAGTGCACAGCTGAGTGTCTCCAATACACTCACAGAGTTGTGCACTCGTGAGACAGTGCATGTCAGGACACACTCGTGAGCTCAGAGAGAAGCCCCGGCCGCACTCCCCTCGACCCCCTCTGCCCTCAGCAGCCCCAGCTGTCTTTCAGTCTCTGTGGTTTTGTGTGGCTGGACAGTTCATAGTAATGGATCATATAATACATGGCCTTTTGTGACAGGCTACTTTTCCTTAGCCTGACGTTTTCAAGGTTCACCCACATGAAGGGCTAAGTCAGTACCTCATTCTTTTTAGTGGCTATATATTCTACATTTTTTTCACTCATTCATCATTTGATGGAGACTCACTGGATTTTTACATAGTCTGTAAAAGCACATTTCTTTGTCTCTCCTAGGCAAGCAGAAGCTCACATAAATGAATAAAATGGCAGTAAACCTGAAGAATGGGGCTGTGACCCCCAAGTACTCTGGGGCTGCATACAAACCTGGGTGCTGTCCATTGTCAAGTTTCCAGGAGTAAAAAAAAAACAGTTAAAATCATCAAAAAGAGGGAAATAATCAAGAATAAACTTTTTAGAAAATAGTTAAAACAAAAATAATTATCCACGAATGTTTGTATCTTTTTACATTTGGCTACATTTGAGTATTATTTTATAAACACCATGAGTAGCAAAGGCTCTCTTTGGTGGCTTTCGTTAAGTCTCAGTGTTTATTATTTTTAAAGTATTAGTGACTAAAAGGTATGCTCTCAACTCAGTTACCCACCAGTTTAAACCACAGAGCTGTGGTTTGAAAAGTGGTGGCTTTTCCAAATCATAAGCACAACGTGTTACTAAGAAAAAACAACCAACCCAGCATGCGCCAGTTAGAGAAAACCAAACCTATAAGTGACGGAGGATGACCCAAGTCCAACCTCCCAAGCAGGCAAAGCCTGACTTACTGCCCACACAGGTGCAAGGAAGACTTACTGGAAAACTGCAGCTCAAAGCCCTTGCTGGTGTTCTCGGCGTCAGTGACGAAGTCGAGCCACAGGCTGCTGGATGTGCTGTTCAAAGTCACCCCCAGCATCTCGGAGCGGCTGAATACCCCCAGCAAGCGGGCGGAGTTGTTGGTGCCATCATAGACCTGGACACAGGAGAGACCCCAACCCAAAAGCATCAGCATGGCCTTATTTCCAAGAACAGCTTCTCACCCCACAGCCCACATTCCCAGGGTCTGGCATCAATAACAACTATTAGAGGGGCAGGGAATCACCAGACACAAGGAAGACGGCAGAGTGGAGCTAGCAACTGAGCCAGTCATGGGCCGCTCTTGACCCTGCTGGGTGCCAGTTCTGCACCCAGCCTACCTCCGTGTGAATCCAGTCTCTAGGCACTGATTTCTGTTCTAACCTTTCCAGTGGTGATCTGCTCCCATTCCCCCAAACCCCATATGGTACCAGCTTCCTCTTCAGCAGCCTGGGGAGGCAAGGTTGGGGCTGGCAGACTGCCCAAGCCATCTGTTTCTGCAGACAGGCATGCCGAAAGCATTTGACATCTCCGCACCACCAGGCACTCAATCCCGTCCTTTCAGAAGAAGAGACAACTGTCCTCCTGCCTGGCCCCACCCCATTGTGGCAGTGGCCTCAGTTTTTATCGCTTTGCTGGACATGGCCCCTGGGATCCTGGCAGGATGGAGTTAAGATGACCAGTGTGTCCTGGTGCCTTTCCCTCCCCCAAGTTCAGCCTCTGCCCCTTCTCTCCTAAAATAAGGGCTCCAGCGAGGGCCTGCTGGGCTTGCCAGGGGTGGAATCGTGCAGGCAGCTGGCCTCCCTAACTCCCATCTGTCCCCTGAACTTCTGAGTACCAGCGAAGTCAACAATCATCCGAATAATGAACTGGCTTCCCAGGTTTCGAGGTTGCTGCTCCTTTCCAGATAATTGTACAAATAACAACAGCAGTTGTGATTGAGTGAAGGACCTCCTGGTGCTTTGGTAAATATCAAAGATGGGATCTATGGGTGGGCGATGAATATTTGTGTATGGCGCAGGATGTGGTGCCAGCTGCCAGCAAATTGGAACAATATTTCCATTCCACCCTTTATGAAGCAGAGCTTTCTAAAAAAAGCCATCCTTCAAGCTAACAGTGCTGTATGTTACAAAGATTTGTTTAGGCCCCCAGGAGACTCGAGTCTCTTTCCAGATCCTGTGTGACGTGGCTTTATAATAGCAACAGACTGAGAGAATTCCAGCGCTCTGACAGACACACAGAATGCACCGGTTCAGCCGAAGTGCTATAAAAAGTGTTGTTACCCAGGAAAGCATATTTTGGAATTAACTGATCAAGGCATCTGTCGTCAATTCTTGCTAACGTCACAACCAGAGAGACACCCAGACACCAGGCACTTCCTGATGGCAGACACACCACTACCTATGGGGTCATTTTGCTAGAAAAAAAATTCAAATCTGAATCAGATCAAGTCATTGGTTCCGATTTCTAACTTACAGGACATACGGAGGACAGAGGAACAGGTGAAGTGATGCTCTGGGGATGTGGTCAGTAAAATCCAGAACGGGAACAGTTCTGCTGGACAACGGGTCCCACTCCCTCAACAAATGAATTACAAGTAGGGGAAAGAGATGGAGGCAGAAACCTATCGATTAAAAGACACAGGAGGGAACTGGTCCAACATGTGGACTTTATTTGGATCCTGATTCAAATGAACTGTAAATTTAAAAAACATTAAGACACTTACGAGATAATTGGAAACTTGAGCCCTCACTGGATGTATGACAGTATTAAGAAATTGTTGTTAGTTAATAAAAGTATAATGGGAATAGGGTTTTTCTTTAATGTCAAAACATAATTCATTCCAATTCATTAAGAATGAAAATGGTCTTACTAAGTGTTATTATGATAAAATTTTGATGGCAGAAAACTAAAAAAAACCCCAGAAAAACACAAAGAAAATAAAAGCAGCTTTCAGCACTCATAACATTTTGGAGACTATCTTCACAGGCTTTGTTCTGTGCATATCTTTCCTTATGCACATTTATTTCTTGATTTTTTAAATAAATACAAGATCAAACCATAGACGCGATATGGTTACAGCTTTTTCACTTAACATAATGTACATATTTTTCAAATCATTAAATATTTTTTTCCCAACAGCATTTAAGTAGCTGCAGGAATTTCCATCATAAAAGTAACCCAAACCCCAATATAATTATTCACATGTCACTGTCCAGAATGTGTGCGCTGGCACACAAGAGGCACTCAATAAATGTGCAATAAATAAATATATAAAGGACACATGGACAAAACCAAAGGGGGTAGGTTCGAGGGTAGGAGGCGGGGATGGGTGGGGTGGGGGGCATGGTGGGGTGAAAATGGAGACAACTGTTCTTGAACAACAATAAAAAAAATAAACCATTGTTTTCTTCTAATACTTCTGTCCTTAAACCCACCTGTATTTATTTTGGCATGTGATATAAGGTTCCACCTTTTTTTCCCCTGGTTGATCAGCCATTTAACTAAATGCTGCTTGTAAGTATTTCAACCCCCACCAATTTTAAATCTCTCGCTATTGCACATGCAGTCATATAAACTTGATTTTGTTTGTCAACTTTCTCGTCTACTGCGTTCATCGGTCTGTCTATTTCCGTGCACGGCCTATGCTGTTTGAATTACTGCAGATTTATGATACAAATATTTAGTAGGGCAAGTGGCCCCTCACTTGTCTCCTTTTAACTTAAAAAATATTCTCCTATATTTGCTTTTATAGATACACTCCAAAAAGATTTTTCTCGAATTAAAAACACTAAGAAAACCCTCCCCACAAAAGAAAAAAAACACACAACTTGAGTAATTCTGACTAACATGTAAATGTATGGATTGATTGGAGGAAAAATACCCTTAAATGATATTACATCTTCCTCTCCACGTCCACAGCATCGGGCTGCGTTTAATCAAGTTGTCTTTTGTATCTCTCCATGAAATTCCATGTTTGTTCCTTGATTGCCATTGGGAATTGGGCCTTGGTGTGCATTTGTTTCCTAACAGAACACTGCTTCTCTGTAAGAAAACTGCGTCTACAGTCCAGTTCATCGTTCTGTGCAGGTGATGGGACTGTCCCCGGAGAAATCTGGGAGAAGCTATGCACATCTGTTCCATCTCACCTTCTTTTTTTCCCTCTGCCAGATGTTTTTATTTTTCAGCTTTCTTGAGGCATAACTGACAAATAAATATTGTATATAATTAAGGTATACAACTCGGTGTTTTGATGTACATATACCATTACATCTGACAGCTCAGCAAGATGGCTGGCTGACAAATAACCATTCTGCATGGATAGCTTTTTACACACAGTGACAAGCAAGGTGAATTGCCTGCCCGCACCCCTGCACTGCAGTTTCTCTGGGACGTCCGTCTGGCCCAGGGAAGCCGGCCATGGGGCCGGTGCAGCTTCTGCTTTGTCGGTCATTGCCAGATTGCTTTCCGGAGAGTAATACCAATTTAATCTCGCTAGCAACGTATGGCAGTTTTCATTGCTTTCTATCCTTGCCAACATTTAGTATTTTCTGGCATTCCAATTTATTTCCAATTTCATGGGTGTGAAATGGTACCTCGTGTTAATTATGTCCCTGATTATCACTGAGGTTGAGCATCTTTTCCTAAGTTGATCAACAATTCTGCTTTCATCTCCTGTGAATTGCCTGTTCATACCTTTCGTTCGCCCGTGAACATGAAACTTCCCCGCAGTTATTTTAACATCCTTCAAAATAAAGTTTGATTTTTCTCGGTAAAGACTATGCACATTTTTGTTAGGCTTGTTCCTAGGTACCTTATAGTTTTGTTTTGTTTTTTTGTATTATGAATGAGACCTCCCTTACCCCAGTTTAGAAACACCAGCAGTTTTGCTGAATTTTCTTATTGGTTCTGATCATTTGTCAATTGATTCTTTTGTATTTTTGTAATAACAGACATTTTACATACTTCTTTCTGATTTTTATAGTTTCTTCTTTTCTTCTTTTGAGGGAGGCGTGGGGGTGTAATTATAGTGGCTGAGAAGCCAGCATAATGTTGAATGCTACTGGCCACAGCAGAAGTATTAGCCTTAGTCCTACCTTTACTTGGTATCTGGAGGCAGTTTTGTCGTTAAGAATAACGTTTGCTGTAAGTGTTGGGAGAAATCTTTTAACAGATTAAGAAAGTTCTGTTCACGGTGAGATGTTTTTTAAAAATCACGGATGATATGTGATTTCATTACATGATGTTTAGGGGTGCATTGATGGGCAGGATCATGCTTTTCTTCTTTTCTGTTTATAGGATATTGGATTGAGCCACACCCATGAAATTGTCAATATTCAATCAGTTTTGGCCTGTAAAAATGGCAATTTCATAGGGTTCACCCAACAAATAACATTATAAGCTTTTCTAGTGACACATCCTCACATCTCCGGAATCAGGTCCACTGAACACACAGCTAGACTCAGTATACTATATTTAGGATTTTCAGGTCTATGGTCACAGGTGGCACCACCCCACAGCCTCTGTCCCTACGCCGCCCTCACTCCGTCTGATGTCCACGTCCCCACTGGCTCCTCCTTTAAAATGCTTTGGGAGATGGGTCCCAGTGTTTTTCTTTTCTGAGGAAGTTTGGTCATTTCAGGGGTTAAATTGCCTCTTGAAGTTGTTGGGTGCAAAATGGTCCAGGCCCAGGGCCTTTGAGAGAGCACATGAGGGACTGCCAATGTACTGGTTTATTCAAAAATTTTTTCTTGATGTTAGTACTTTTCTCTATAAAAAATTCCATTTTATCTAAGGTTTCAGATATCTTGGCTTACAGTTGTTCCTAAATGTTTTATTATTTTCATAATCTCTGCTATACCTATGACCACATTTCCTCTTCCATCTGTAACATTATCTATTTGTGACTTCTTCATTCCTTCGTCAGTCCTGCCAGGTTTGTCTATCTTATCAAAGTTTTCAAAGAAACTGCTGGTTTTGCTGATAATTGCCACTTTTTAATTTTTTAGTTATTTTGCTTTTATCTTCAAAAGTATTTTTCTCCTACTTTCTTTGATTTTATTGTTACATTATTCAAGCTACCTGAACCCTCATTATTTTTAACCTAGGTGATATGCCACAGAGTAACAGAGGTATATTAAAATTTTCCATGGTGTCTGTGACTTTATTAATTTTTTTACACATCTGCAGTTTTTATTTAATTTATTCATGCTATGTTATTTGGCACATAAAGTTTTACTGTGGATGACTGTACAATTTATTAATATAAAAGAACCTTCTTTTTCATTTCCTTATGAGATGTGGAAGAGTCTCCCTAATTTATTTTCTAATAAACTGATCTCATTTCTCTGTGGTTTACCATCTTCTGCGCACTGCTTCCATTCCATTTTTTAATTGGGTGATCATGTTTTCCATCTCTGTTCAATCTTCCCTCATCTCAGATTGCTCTGTTTTCATTATTGCCTATTTTTTTGTGTGTCATAAATACAATATTCTCTCAAATCTTGTTAAGAATACAAATTAGGAGCTTTTAATAAGTTTTTTTTCCCTTGTTGCTTACAGAGGGGCAATTAGCTCTGACTCCTCAGACAGGTCTTCTTCTTCTGGTCTATTGAATATTTGGACACACCCGGTTAACTGTCTCATTGGCACGCCACTGCCGAGGGAGAGTGACGATGGGGAACAGAAATATCCAGCAGTCTCTGAGGGGGAGCAGAAGGGTTGAGCCAAAAGAGGCCATGGCAGGAGCTTCTCCAGCTCCTGTGGCTAAAGTATGTGAGTGAGAGAGAGAGAGAGAGAGAGAGAGAGTATGTGTGTGTGTGTGTGTGTGTGTGTGTGTGACAGAGAGAGACAGAGAGATACAGAGAAACAGAGAGAGAAACAGAGAGAGACTGCGGCAGCCCCTGACCACTCTTGTTAGGCACCAGCATGGCACTGCACTGCTTTGTCTGGCTTGTCAACAGAAGACAAATGACATACTGAATATCACGTTGAGAGGCCATGGGCTCTGTGTGGTTTCTCAGACTGCGTGCACCTCCAGAGGGGCTGGTGGGACTGAGACCTGGTCCCTGCCACAGTTCTGTGGTGTGCCCTCTAAGCTAGGTGGTCTTAGGTGTCTTTTCTCTCCAAGGTTTGTCACACCAATCCACAGGCAGAATTTCATGTCACGTGTGTGAACTGCCATCTGATCAGACCCTTTCTCAGTCTGGATCCTTTTTTTGGTATTCTACTTGCCAGGAATTCCTTCCCATTGTGTGTGAACGGCACCCTTGCCTAGCAGCCTGTAAAAGCTGCAGCTACATGCACTGCTTTGTTGGCACATGCCTGTCGTTGCCATCATCTACTAATGCACCGAGAGGTCCTTCCTGTCTGGCTGGAGTTAGGGGCTGAACTGAAAGGGATCAGCTGGTACTGGGAGATGAGCGAGAGTGCGTGTGGGGGTGGGGTTTAAGACATTTGTAGTTATCAAAAGTAAGGGAGTAAGGGACAGATCAGGGTCACAAATGTGAGGGAATAGTCATTTCACAGGTGAGAAAGGGACTATGCAGAAGTTCAGGAGGGGTGGTCAGATACACCAAACACTGTATCCTGGACAACACAGAGGTGGCAAGAGGTGGCAGGGCTGTGTGCTCAGCATATCAGGTACGCGCTGGGGCTTCTTCAGAGGGACAGGCAAGTCCTCGGGGTTGGGGACACACCAGTGTCCTGGCAGATGGGCCAACTGCACCAGCATGAAGACAACATGTTCTTGGAGGTAACTGGTACTCTAGGCTCCCCCTCTGCTCGTTCCTGTCGAGGTGCCAGAGTGGCAGGTTCAAACAGCAGTACTGCTACTGCTGACAGTTGTCGGGAACCGCCCTGCCTGGTTTTAGAAGCTGTAGCCCCCGCCAAGGCTAAGGCTGAGGGAACGACCTTGGACTGTAAGTCAACAAGGAGACAAAAGCTTATCTCCCTGGCAGGAGCGCCTTTTCTGCTCCTTTTACTTTACCCTGCCTGGCCCCCAATGCTTGGTCGGTTAGCCAATGATGGGTAAGATTCCCCAAGGGGGGGACGATCTAAGACAGGCACGATCACGTGGGAGGCCCCCAAGGAAGGACCTTGCGGGGCTACAGCAAAAGGGGGTGATGGACCCTCACCCCTCGGCTTTGACAAAGCCTGAGTCCTCATTGTCTGTGAGAAATCTCCTAATCTCTTGGCTGCCTTACTTCCCTTGCTCCACCTAAACCTGAAACAATGACAGAGGGTGGTGCAGCCCTGTGCTGGAAAGGGTGGGTTCCCTGGGCAATCAGGCCTAAGAAAGAATATGTAAAATCCTGTGAAACCTGCTTTGTTTAGAATGCTCTCAATGAAATGATAGAGGCCAAGCAAGAAGTGAGTTTGTTCCTCAAAGTTTTACAGCTCTTTAGCTATCTTGACCCTGACTCAAAATAAGCCCTCAGACTTCTTTGTTATCTATTGTTTGATTCTTACTTCCTGGCAATGATTAATGAGCTTTACCTGAATTCCTGTGTAAACAAACCCAATAAAAGGCTGCTCAGGTGGGAGAACGGGGTGCTCTCCACTAGAGAGAGTGGCCGTTTTATCCCTATTCCTCCACAGGACCTGGTTGTCTCTGTGTATGTTTTTCTTGTGTTTCAATGAGACCATCTGCAGCGTTCCTCGGTCATTGCCGGTCGATGGCTGAGACAGGCAGTGATTCTGGGTGATTCTGAATCCTACTTGGGAAACGATAACTGAGAGTTTCTTTTAGTTCTGAAGCAGTTCTGTACCTATTCATGTCCCAGGATCTCCCTGAGGAAGGTGAGGGGCTTTGAGGAGAAGAGTTAGAATGGGAAGGAGCTACAGGATACCGCCTGGTCTCCCTGGGTGCCTTGCCCTCTTTCCCAAGGGTCTGATCTTGTAGAAGTTTTGGGAATCACAGGGTCCTGGGAATGGCTGTTCGGCCAGGTCAGAGCCACAGCCCAGCCTCCTGAGGAGGACACTACTGAGGCCCAGACACAGCAGGAAGAGGTTCTTCATCAAGAAGGCCGTGATCAGCACTGGAAAGCTGCATAGGTGACAGCGAAGATGAAGTCTGAAGCCTGGGGAGGTCCCCCTAAGAAACACAGAATTTCATGCCCATTTTCCTACAACCCTGCAGGGTCAGCTAAGGTCCTGCTGCCTGCAGAAGCCCTCCTTGATCTCTGACTTGGGTTTTATGCCCCATGTCCCTTCTTATTCTGAGTGTCTCGGAAAGTCCTTCTCTTGACTGTGGTTAAGTCGCTCACTTGATCCCGAGGCAGCCTGGCAGTGCAGTTGGGTGCACACCTGTTGACTGTGTCTTAGGCACTACTCCGAAACTACAGCACCCTAGTGACAGCACCCTAGTGAGCAAGCTCGGGCACCGCACTAGCCACACTCCACGTGAACTCCAGCAACCGAGGGCCCTTCTGCTGGTCCTACTGGCACATGCACAGAACTGCTGCTCCTACTCCCTTCACAGCCTGAAAATGACAAGTTATGCTTCGAAATGCCTTTTTCCCTGCAGGGTTAATGACAGCCTTCCTCCCAGAAAGCCTCCGCACTGTCCAGCTTCACCAGTTCCATCAGTAGCCCTAAAGAGGGAGGTCACGTTGGCCGCACTGTCCCTATTTGTACCCTCTGTGGCTCTGCTGTCGATAATGAATAAACAGATGGGGAAAAGTGAGGCCAAGGGGGAGGTCTGACGATGTGGCCCTTGGGAAATGCAAAGCCCTGGCAAGCCTACAGGGAGATGCACGCTGTGTTCCTGTGTCTCAGGAGCTCAGAGATTGAAGAGCTTGAGAAGTGCAGATGGGGCTCCAGTCCCCGCCGGGCCACTTTGCCCTAATCAGTTCTATTTCAGGCACGCCCAGTCCCACATGATCATCTCGGGGGCACATCCCCTCGGGTTTGAGGAGAACTAGGTAAAAGTGAGACACGCCTGCCCAACACACACACACACACACACACGCCCCTGGAGAATACACGCCCCAGGGGGCCGGTTGAGCATCATCTGTGCATAAAAACAACCATTCGTTCATCACACCTACTTAGAACCCCAAGGGAGGGTCATTATTTAATGGTTTCTCTTTGTGTTTTCCAGAGCAGTAACCTCTTGTTTCTAACGCCAAGACTTCTCTGACTACAGGCAACATACCAGAGTGGAGTGAGCTAAAAATGTGCATTGGTCTAGGATGAAAATGGAGGCTCTGTGTGAGATTTTCTTAATAACCTACTTTAATTAAGGCAGCTCTCTGATAAATTCTCCAGTCAACTCTTTGATTATACACACACGCCACATGTCACTGAAGATATGCTCTTAATCTCTCTCTCTCTCTCTCTCACACACACACACACACACACACACACATACACACAAACACAAGCCATACATATGCTCAGGGTCTCAACTTCCTCTCTGTAAGCTTCTCTGTAATCCCAGTCCTATCATCTCTTTCTCTTATGCATCTCTTAAATCTACTTTCTTTGACCTCACTGCCATGCAGAGCCCACCATCATGACACACTGAAGCTACTGAAATAGCCTACTAGTGAACTGAACACACATTAAACATATACACATACCAAACACATACTAAGTGCACACACACAACACACTGAGCCAAGCATGCACAGACAGATTCCTCCAACCCAGCAAATACACAGATAGATTCACACACATGTGGGAACATATGTATAAGTGTATTTATATCCACAAACATGTCTCCACAAGTGCACACACACATGCGCATGCACACACACTTTATGAGCTCTATATTATCCAGGTTGATGGTCAGAGTTCACAGTAGAAAATGTGACCTACTGGCCACTCCAACTGAATTTCTTCCTCTTCTTATTCTGTGGTCTAACCATAACCAGTCACATGTGTACTTGAGAGCAGTCAGCTCAAGCAAGCTCTAAAACCACATTCTGGGACTCTCACATAGCCCTTCTCTCTTAGGTTCTCACTTTCTCCCAACTGAGTGAGGACAATACCTCAGGACTCAGGGGGGAGGGAGAAGAGCTTGGGTCATCCACACAGGGATGGAGGGATGAGTGAGTGCGGACCACACTTTCGCACACGGTAACACACTGGCTGTGAGAAACGATCAGCGTTACCTTGAGGACGTCTCCCTCAGAGAGCTCGAACGCCCTGGCTTTCAGCTGGATCCCCTTTCCCGGCTGGGTCTGGATGGAGTAGATGCATTCGTGGTTGTTGTTGTAGTTCACAGGGAAGTTGGGGGACAGCAAAGTGCCCTGAGTGCCCGTGACCGAATTCCCACACTCGGCTGCAAAGAGAACCATAACAACCACAGATTAACTCCCATCGCTACATCCAGAACACAACTCACTGGGCTGGGGAACCTCACAAAGATGACAGTGGTTTGCCTCGCTCCCTGCCAAAGTGCCTATTCACCTGTCCATTTGTCTGCTTGTCTAGAGGCCTGCTTATCAAGTTTCTTTTCAACACCTGCCCACCTATGGCTCTGCTCGGTTTCTTTATCTCCCTCATTCTGTTTGTCTGTCTCTCTTTTGCAGACACAGAAACAAACCCACCAAGCACTCTTCGCTTTCACGGCATTATGGAGCAGCCATTCCCCACACCTGTTCGCATTGTATCGCAGCAACAGAAATGACTGAGGGGGGCGGCAGGGAAGGGTGGTGGCAGCCAAATGAGGAGAGATGAAGCCTTTCTGTGTTGGAGGACAGAAACTAAGAGAGGACAAGATCGAGTAACAATTGCTAGCATCTTCCTAGCTTCACAAGGATCATGTCTGTCATTAGTCACAACAAGCCAGCTCATAAGGTAGGCACAGTTACTATCCCCGCTTTAAAGATAAAGAACCTGGTACCTCACAGTTTAGATCAAGCCTCTCAAGTGATGAAGAGGAGGGGGCTAAGAACTCAGCTCCATTGGTCCTGGAATTTAGGGCCCTGGAGGCTCTGGGGAAAGGTTTAGCACTGACCCACTGAAACCCTGTTTCTTTCAATGCCAGTGAATTCACACCCTCTTCTCAAAAACACTTTCTTCCCTTCTAGGATCAGTCATTATTTCATTGTTCTCATAATTTATTTATAGCAGTTATCACCTTTCACTTCACGTATTTCTATCACTTTACACTTCACGTATTTCTATCGCCTCCACTGCACTGAGGACCTTTTAGGGCTTGGTCATAGCTCTACATGTCCACCACCCACTCAGCGCCTGGGCAGGGTGGCCATTGGCAGATGAAGGAGAGGGAGCACGCAGCTCAGAGGCAGGGTGTGTGCTGAAGAACCCCGAAGCTGGCTTTCTAGAGTGCTCAGCAATTGTGAGGCCCCTCCCTGTTCTTCCCCCATCCCAGTATCTGCAATACTGCACCCTGGTTGCTTGTCACTGGCTTGGATCCCCCACCCCAGCTGAGTTGTTCTTAATGAATCCACGATTGTCTAAAGCTTAGCCCAGATCATCTATGAACTATTCTCCAAATGAATGAATGAGTGCACACGGAGTACCCTGACCTGAGAAGATATATAGTCCTAAAAATAATTAGGTTCGGAAGGATGCAAAAATACAAGTCCAGATGGCAGGTCCATTTCTTTCTGTCTGGACATATGGGGAATCTGGAGCATGTGTTGAATCTCTGAGGCTGATGTAACAACTCTGCTTTCCCTAAATCACCTCCCAGTGTCCCTCTTATGGGCGTAATCCTTGGCAGGAAACACCATAGGTCAACCAATGGGCCATTGATTTGAGCGTATAGTCAACCCTAATCGCCCTAAGCCTGAAGTAGTAAGCCAAGGCAACGCAGATGGAGCACGTGATACAGGAACATTCAGAGTTGAGCCTCTCATGGGCTGAGTTATACCCTTACATGTTCCCTGGTCCCTAAGGCTGCTCCTGAGACCTTTGAGGACAGTGACCCTGCGCCACCCCCAAATCCCCACTTTTTCAGTGGACCCTACTCTCTGGGTTCTTTCTACTTCAGGACCTGCTTCAGTTTCCTAAGAGTTTATGTAAGTCATTCCTATGGGCTGAATGTCTGTGTTCCACCCCAGATTCACATGTTGAAGCCCCAGGCCCCAGTGTGATAATATTTGGAGGTAATTAGCTTTAGATGAAGTCCTGAGGGTGGAGCCTTCATAATGGGATTCATGTCCTCACGAGCAGAGGAAGAGCCCAGAGCCCTCTGTGCCCTGTGAGGACACAGCGAGAAGGCTGCCTGCCACCTGCAATCCCAGACACCAAATCTGCTGGCACCTTGACCTTGGACTTCCCAGTCTCCAGAACTGGGAGAAAGACATGTCTGCTGTTTAAACTGCCTACCCCACAGTGTTTTCTTAGAGTAGCCCAGACGGGCTGAGGCAGCAGTCATGTGTGTTGGAGGAGAAACCTCGTTTTCCAGGACCCTAAACTCAGCCTGTCTGCAGAGGGACCAAAGTGCATGAGGAACGTGTGAGCTGGGGCATGAAATCAGGTGAACAGAAGCGGAAAGGTGCCCTGGGGACTGCTGCTGATTAGGTAGATATGTTTCTAGCGTGTGTAGGTTTTCTGGGTGCCGGCAGGCAGAGGTGGGAGCTTGGGGAGGGAGTGATGAGGGCTATGCACATCCAGACATTTATCACTCAGTCACATCACATGGGTGGTGTGACTCTCCAAAGCAGCTCTCCATCATCTCTGGGGACACGCACCATTTCCCTCCATCTAGGGAGAGGCATGTGGTACAGATTAGCATGGAGTCTGGAGGCAGACAATTTGTATCAGCCCTCTAAGGTTCAGTCTCTGCATCTGCCTTCATCTGTGTGATAATAGCATCCTTATTAAGAGTATAGAGAAGAAATGCATGATATTCAATGACAAAATAGGTAAACACATGGGGAGTGGTCAGCACATAGTAGGTTCTCAACAAACGTTATTCCTCCTCCCTTTCCTCATTGATCCCAACTGAATCTATGCAGCTTGCCCGCTTCCACTCGGAGGCCTGCCTGCCCGTGCCCTGGGACTGGCAGAAACCCCGGGAAATGCCTTGGGAAGCGTGCGTTCGCTGCCTGACATTCACAGCAGCCTCACTGTTTCTGATACCTCTTGTCTTCTAGTGCCTAGTTTCTAAAAGTTGGCCTCCCTGAAACATGGGCTTTGGCATCCTCCTGGACTTTTCCCTGCCCCTGGTCTCCAGCACAGCTGTTTGCCCATCATTGCCGGCATGACCTTCTCCTCCTCCTGAAATGCCCCACACCTTCATGAGGAGGGAAACGGGGCTGAGAGCCTCAGGTGAGGCCAGTCCTTGGCCAATCCCTACGTCCCGATCCCCTTCCAGGGCCTTGTCCTGGGCACCATGGAGGGTATAGGAGGAGAGAGGGACATGGCACTGGCTTCTGGGAGTTCCCAAAGTAACAGGGGAGGTGAGTGAGCAGATGCAGCGAAAAGCCAAACATGAGCATAAAGCGGAAACAAATATTCCAGGGAAACAAATGGTCAAGTATGTTCCCGGGAAAGTGTTGCTGAGGGTTCAGGCATCTGTGACTTCTGTCGTCCCCATCAGAAAGGGCCTCCTCGAGGGCAGGGGCCGGGCCTTATCCATCAGCCCGAGGCCCCTGAGACAGAGGGTTAGGTCTTCCCAATCACTCGGGGGCTCCCGAGGACAGGGCCATGTTCCCTGTGGCAGACTGGGTCCCCTGGGGTCAGGTGTGTCTCTTCCACATCAAGTTCAGGGGTCCCTGAGGTCAGGGGTCCTGCCACCCTATCATGCCATAAATTAGAGCCCCGGGCTGTTTCATCTCCGTCGCATCTGGGAAGGTTCCTGGAAACACTGTGTGGGCTAAGTCACTCAATTATACCTGCGGTGTGTGTGACAATGGGGAGCCTCCCCCTGGGGGGCATCCCCACGGGACCCCCAGCCTGAGGTTCTGTGGCAGGGCTGGTGGTGTTTAGAGGTGATTATCATTGCTGTGTGTCATTAGTAACATGTGAAAGACAAGAAAAGTGTCACAATCAAAATATTGTGAGGCGCCATGGACAAACAGTAACTGGAATAATAAGATAAAGGATGAATTTATGCAATGCGATCGAGGGCAGAAGCTTGAGGAGTGTGTGCATTTGTGGTCCTGGAAGATCCCATTGAAGAAAAAATTCCCCCCAGAACTATGTAGCTGAGGCTATCTCCCTGAGAAGACAAGAGGTGTTAACAGCCAGACACACACCGAACCAGCACTGGGGGGAAACGTGTGTCCGAACATGCGCCCGGGTCAGGGAGGGCGGGCGTCCTCAGGGACAGTTAGGAGACCAAGGATAAACTCCGGGAGTATTGAATTGGTCAACGATGGAATTCAATCGATGGCATCGATTTGGATTCATGTTTCATTTCTGAGATTAGAAAAGGTTGTTGGATATTACTTATTAATAAATAACGATACGAAGGTTATTGGCAAAATGACGATAATTATAGGGCACTCATGGCTTAAATAAATTATGCCATCTAAGCTGGAATAAAGCCTGTGAGTTGGATATTGTTATCTCCGGCTGGGGCTGGGTGGCCCGTCTAAGATCTAACAGCTGGTAGGAGGCAGAGCAAAGACTTGACCTTGAGCCTGGAGATTGAGCAGCCTGAACCCAGCCCATCTTGCCAGGCTTCTTACAGCTGTCCTCTGCAGGGCCTCCGGGCTCCATGGAGTTGTCTCCAGCAAGGATGACCTTAAGACACTGGCCCATTTCAGTCACTGCAGTGTGGCCTTCATCTGTTGATGTATTGGGGTTTTTACGTACTATTTCACTCCAAGTATGAGTGCCACGGCTAATAGCCAGCCTGGTAAGCACTGCATTATCCTGCCTGTGTTGCATCCAGCCCTGCAAGTATGGAGCAAGCAGAGCCATCGACCTCGTAATGAGGGACAGCCAGCAATGGTCCCTGTTGTCTCTGATCAGTCTATTTCTCCCCATCCTCCGGGCCCGGAGCTCTGGCAGGAAGGCAGAGCCTTGGGTCAGAGGGCTCCCAGCTCCCGCTCTCTAACCTCATCATCTGCTGTTCTCCCTGCTGCTTGCTCCAGACTGGCCACCACGCTGTTCCTCTAGGCTCAGGGCCTCGACACTCCGTGCCAACTTCTCCCAGCTATCGGAGCAACCAGCTTCTTGAATCCCTTCTGATCTTCTAAAACAACAACCCATCAGGGAGGCCTTTGCTGACCACTCTTTTTAAAAGAACGACCCTACCTCCAGCACTTCCTAAGCTGATGTTTATCTCTATACCTTTCAGCTCTGCCTGGAATACTGGCTATTTATGGATTTATAGCTTATCTCTCCCACTAGGATGTGAGACCACGAGTGGAGAGACTTCCTCTGTTTTGTTCGCCTTTGTATCCTCAGCACCCAGACGCCTGCCTGACAGGCAGTGAGTGGTCTGTAAATGAACCCAACTCTTGCTTCCTTTCTCATCACCAGCTGGATGGACAAAGTCTTTCTGGGGATCCTGAAAAGCTAGCACCCCCACCAGACTAGTACAAGTTCTCTCTACTCCACCAGATTGGGGCTCTCCATGGGCAAAGGTCATATCTCCTTTCTATAGGTCTACCCCCTCCTCCTACCAATGCTGTACCCAGATTTCTCTGCAAGAGGCACCCTAAGCCGCTGGGATATGTTAGGGGTACAAGGGAAAAGTACGGAAGTCAATTTCATTAGAATGCCTACTTTGAATCCACTTTACAAAGGTCAGGTCAGGCTCCAGAACAGCCCACGAAGCAGGTACTGGCATCTCTATACTGATAAAGAGACTGGAGCAGAAGCAGGTCAGGCCACCCAAGGTCGCAATGCAGGTAACTGTGCGCTAAGGCAGTCCTCGCCCAGGCCTGCTGGCCCCCTGGCCCGTGTGCCTTCCACCACCTCACTCTAATTGACTAAAGCCTGGCCCACCCCATTAGTGAAGCAAAATGAAAGCACGTGACCACCTACCAACACACCTTGGCAGAGGCGAACTCCACAGGCGCCGTCTGCCCCCCAGGCACGTGATGCGGGCCGTGCCCTCCAGACGGTACCCGGGGAAGCAGGAGAAGGTCAAGGTGTCGCCTACACCAAACTGCAAGCCCTTCCGGATGCTGTAGGCGGGGACCTCCGGCTCCTCACAGGGCTCCAGGTCATATTCTGGAAAGGCAGCAGGAGAGCCGGGGTCAGAGACAGAAGGTGGGGACAGAGACGAAGACAACAGGGAGAAAAGGGCCGGAGGTAAAGACAGACAGGGGCAAGGAGCACGCGCGCACACACACGGCAAAGAGGAGAGAAGAGAGAACCTGATTGAAACCCAGGCTGGGAGGCACACGGTGAGGTGAGGAGCAGGGCACGCCGGGCTCTGGGTGGTCTCGGTGCCTCGTCACTGACTGCCGTGCAGGAGGGAAACATGCTACCCGGGAGTATTTCTGAGGGACCTTGTCACTTGACCCTTCCCTCCTCGCTCCTCTCCTTCATATTAACCCCAAGCCTCAGGGCTCACAGACTCTCCTGCCTTTTTCTCGGGGGCACCGAACCAGATCGATCCAATCAGCCTGGTTCCAGAGGGTCAGAATGTGTGACCCAGCCGAGGGGAACCTCCACAGGGAAGAAGAATTCAAATGCTTCACTCGAAGCTGTCTTGGTGATGCTAGCACTTGAAGCAGATGGCAAGTGTGATGGGTGGCATTTATGGGCCAGAGACCTGCCTGGTACCTCTAGTAATGGCATAGATGTGACCACCCATTGTCCCCAAGGGCATTTCCCTTTGGGACATAGTTCCTGGAGGCTCTGTGTGGTGAGGAGGAGGAGGGTCTGTCTCGGACGGATGAAGCACAGTGGCTGGGTATGTCTCATCCGGGAGGCCAGCCTAGGCACGTGGCAGGTGGCTTCTGCTAGAGAGACAGCAGGGGGCTGATCTGGGTTATGTCCACTTGCCAGAGGCCAGCCATCTCTTGCCCATCCCGGCAGGGTCCCTCTGATACCCCTGCTCTCCGCTGGGAAGAGGAGGGGACCCTGAGAAGCAATGGGACAAGAACGGCAAGGGGACTCGGTACTAGAGGAGCGAAGGGTCCCCTTTTCTCCTTGAACGCCAAATTAAAGATTTTTCTTTTCAGGATTCCTAAATGCAGATAAATATCTATTCCTGCTAAGTTGGCATGGATGAGGAAGCCTCAAATAAGAATGAAATAGTCTCATATATTAACTTCAACCCCCCTTCTTCCTCTTCTTCTTTTTCCCTAAATTGCTGGGGTTGTGAATAGCAGAAGGGGAATCGGGAGAAGTGTCTGGAATGTTCAGCCAGCTGGCCAGGTCACATTCAGAGGGAAACCTAACCACCTTCAGAGAGGGAGATGCCCCCCAAATCCTGCTAACTCCTTCCGAGTCCACTACAGGGAAGCTCTTCCCTGTGTCTGACCCGGCTACCCTTTACTGGAGCAGGGAGGCCGTGCTCCCGGAGACTGGAGAGTGGAGCACTATCCCTCTGCTAGGAGGACCAGGGGCTAGCAGCCAAGGGGCAGACAGGGCACCCTTCCCCCAGGGGGCCCTCACAGGCTTTACCTGAGAAGGTGATGTTGAATCCTTCATAGGACATGGAGAAGTCGGAAATGAAGCGGACCTGGGCGGTGAAGTTGCCATAGAGACCAGCGCTGATGGGGGCTGGCAACCGCGAGCCGGTCAGCTGTCTCAGGGGCTGGGTGAAGCTGCCATTTTCGGTGATGAGGAGGTAGTCATGGCCACTCTCCAGGTGGAAGGTGTGGAAAGTAAAGAACACACCTGCCAAGAGACCAGACGGGTCAGGGTGACGATGATGAGAAGCCTGGAGCAGCCCAGCTGCAAGAAGGGATCTGCACAGACAGTTCGCATTTGTAAAGGTCTGTGGGTGTGCAGAAGAAGTACAAGCACGTGCCGAGAAATCCATATGGGGGAGCCTGAATGAATGAACCGGAATGAACTGCATCACACCATCGCCCACAGGTCCGGCCAGGGAGAAGCATATTGCTTTACAGCTGTCAGAATTTGGAAGGAAGATTTATGGCTAGTTCTATGAGAATACTTCATAGCTATTCATTCATTCATTCAACCAACAAGTATTTGCATATCTGTTGAGTATGTACTTCCTATGGGCTAGGATCCAGGGCCAGGTAGGTGCAAGAAGACATACAAAACATTAAACAAATAACTACAGAAGAGTGATGACTGCTATAATGAAAATGGATCGGAGTGCCATGGGGGTGGGGGGTGCAGAACGGGAAGCAGTTTGCAGCAGAAAGAAGGGTGTGTAGGGAGTGCCCCAATAAGGAGTGCTCATTTGATTGGGGTCTTAAAAGGATGCACAGGGATTAACCAGGCAGGAGGGGAAAGGACGTCCCAGGCAGGGGACTGGTGTGGGTGCAGGAGCTTGTGTTTTAGGGCTCAGGGCAGCCCACGGTGTGGCTGGACACACTCAGCTGCTGGAAAGGCAGGCTAGGGCTAGGCCAGCTATTTTTCCTGGGGGCATCGAGCCATCCTACCCAGAGTGGATCAGATTTCAGACTTAGCAAGATGTTGATGGCTGTGAGGAGGACCGAGTAGAGGGAGAAGAGGCAGGGAGCATGGTTAGAATGGGGGCAGCCATGTGCTGGGCAAGAGAGGCTGGGGCCAGGCAGAGGGGCCGAGGGCAGGAAATGGACACAGGACCTCGGCAAGGGAGAAGGATAGGAACCAGCAGCCATGGTGCAGAGGAGGAATGGAAGGATGACTAAGAGCGTCCTGACCTGAAAGAAGGTGATGTTTTTTGCTATCTGGAGGTTCGACATACAGGAGGAAGAGGGACCAGTGGCAGAAGGGTAATGGGTTAGCTTTGAACACCCTGTGTTTTCAGCATCCAAGCACTGATAGGTGGTGGGCATCTGGGAGCACAGGTTTGGGGTTCAGCATTAAGGTCGGACTACAGCAGTAGATCTGGGAGTACCAGACAAGAGGTGTTATTTGAAGCCATAAGCAAGGAGCAGGGAGCCCAAGGAGGGCCGGGAGAGCATCAGGGATGGGGCAGGATGGAGGCTTGGGGAGGAGGGGCATTAAGGAGACAGGGAGAAGGAGGAGCAGTGCGAGGAAGAGACAGCGAGTGCTCCACTGCGGGAAGGGGTTGACGGCACTGAATGAAAACAATAATATTCACTAACATCGGAGCATGAAATATTTGTGCGTCACTGTCCTACATGTTTTGTTATTCTGTAACAAGCCTCTGTCCGTTGGAAGGGAAGACATGAAAACTCATTCAGTCCCGCCCATAACCTTACGGCATGGGAATGATTACTCCTATCCGCATTTTACATCTGAGGAGACTGAGGCACAAGAAGATCAAGTCACTCGTCCAAGGTCGCCCAGCTGGCAGGTGGTTGGGCTGGGGCCTGAACCGAGGCGATGTGACCGCAGCGTCTGTGCCACGAACTGCTGACACGACGCTGCGTCTCTCTCTACACAAAGACACCAGGTAGTAAGAGGGGTCAAGGGGCGCAAAAGGTTATGAAGCAGCAGGAGCTCAAGACCCAAAGCAACCCTTGAACTTGTCCAGACAGCTGTTATGCTTGTGTGAGTACGTGTAAATGCATGCCCGCCCACGAGTGTGTGTGCCCATGGGAGTATATGCTGTGGATGTGCTAGGGCTAGACCGGGGTGAGTGCCGGACCCAATTACTATTCAAAGTCCATGAACCAGCGGCGCAGGCGTCACCTGGGAGCTTGTCAGAAATGCAAAACCTCGGCCTCCACCACAGACCTCTGAGTCAGAATCTGCATGCTAACAAGATCCCCAGGTGATTTGCAGGCACATAAAAAGTTTGAGAAATACTTCTCTAGATAATTACTGACACATTTTTGATAAATGATGGTTGGATTCAAGCTCTTAACACTAAAGCATTGGAGATATTTTCATATTCTCACCGCTCTGTCGGTAGAAGTGGGTGAGCCTGGCGCATTTGCGATTCTATGGGTGGGGGGTGGGCGAACAAAGAGGTGGTGGGACCAGGGATGCAGCTGGTAAATGTCTGGTGCCCAGGCAACTGAGATGCATCCATTTATCTGTTTGATCAAACAGATCCTAAGCACGTACTAAGCGCCAGGCCTGTGCGAAGCACCGAGAGAAATCGTGCGGTTCCGTGGAGGAGACAGACCATCGATAGCGAGCATCCAGGGTGGGGGCGCAGGAAGAGCGAGCAGAACGCTGCGAGGGTTGGGGAGGCTTCACAGGGGGCCACAGTCCTCGACGTGACAGGTGCGGGCCTGCCTGCAGACCCAGGGGTATGTGTGCTCACACGTAGCCTGTCCTCCGACACACGAACACGTGTGCAAATGAGAAAACGGTTCTCAGTCTACAGAACACGGGAAAGGGCTCTGTGGCATCTGGGCCTTTCCTGTCCTAGCTGGAACCCCGGGGTGGGGGGCAGTGGGCAGTAACAGGGGAACGGAATTGACTGCGCACGTCACTCTGCACTCTGTTCTGCGTGCAAACAGAGACACTCCAAAGGAGGGAACATTTGTCTGGGATTCTAAGGATGAGTAAACAACCAAGATGAAACCCCTGGGGCTCCCAGCTGTGCTGACTGCTTGGGGCTTTTCTGGCCGTTGTGAGAAAATGAAGACATTGTTACAGAAATAGATAGGCCCCAGGGTGGGGCTGGGCTGCAGGAAAGGCGGCGCTTTAGAGGGAGACAGACCTGGATCAGAAGCCCGTCTACCCACGGAAGGGTCTGGGCCACAGTGGCCCAGCACACCCTGAGTCTGAGTGTCCTCCACTGCAATATGTGGATGACAGGATCACCCTCTCAGGTGACACTGAACCCCTGGAGGGAGGAGGAATTGGAAGCACATATGCAAGGCGCACAGCACAGGGCCTGGCACACAGAAGGCGCTCTCTTTGCTCAGCTCAGCTAACTCCCAGAAACCCTGTGAGTCCCGGGGTCACAGCAGGGACACGCTCTCTGGGCTCCTGACCTGGCCATTGGCTCGGGCTGGGTGTGTGGCAAACTGGGTGGTTCTGCACTTCCCAGAGTTTCAAGTTCCTCTTAGTACCCTCCTGTCTGGTAGGGAGCGAACAGAATCAGAAGCCTAATTGCTCTGTTCACAAGCCATGCCCTCTGGAGAACGGCCGGGTTCAGTTTAATTTAATTCATATAAACATTTCTTGAGTTCCCTAGGTGCTGGACACAGAGCCAGAGCTAGGGAAACTGCAGGAAAAAAGGCAGACACGTCTCTCAAACAGCTGAGGGTCAGTGGGGGAGACAGATGATGAGAGCACAAGTTCTGTACAGTGGGGCAAACCCTGGCATTGGGAAGGTGCAGGATCGTGTCGGGGCCCGAGGAGAGGAGCCCAACCCAGACCCCCAGGCTGGGGAGAGCAGGTTGGGAAGGCTCAGTAGAGGAAGCGAGTTCAGAAGGATGAAGAGCTGGCTACACAGGGGGATGGTGAAGACCGTACGGAGGAGGGAGGGTCACAGAGAGAAGAACTCATCCCGATGGGCAGAGCTCTAGAGGCAAAGAAAGCCCAGGGAGTTCTCGGAACTGAAGGTTCGGTACAGTTGGAGCTCAGTGTTTGCAGGGCGCAGAACGAGGCTGAGAAAGGCAGTCAAGGGCCATGCTAGCTCTTCCACAGCTTCATCCAGGTTAGGCGAAGCCTTTACGTGGTTCTAGGGAAGAAGAGACCTGGTTGTGCATCACTGACTGACCTCCTGTTGATTATGCCCGGAACACCTGTCACCTGGCTAACTCCCATTCACCCTGGAAGAAGGGTTTAAGTCTCCTGGACACCCGCTCCACCCTTGGGCTGCCCTCTGGATGTCTCCTCGCCTCCACCTGCTCCATCTCAGCACTGGCTGTGCTACACTGAGAGATCTCTTTGGACTTTCTGTCTCTACCACCGGACTACAAACGTCCTGAAGGCGGGCGATGCACAGTGGCTGTGTTTGCCTGGCACCCAGAAGAAGTGCAAATACAAAATATTTGTTAAATATTTGTTGAACTGCACTGACTTCTAGACAAAGATGCGAAGAAAGGCATGGAGGGGCCCGTCCCCTCCCCCATAACGAATGACAGGTGCCCAGACTCAGAGCGGATCACGCCTGGGGGGGCTGCTCCTCTAGGGATGGAAAGGGCTGCCCTTCTTTCCCTCGGGGTGCCACACAGCAGCTTCTGGGTCTTGCAAGGGCGGCCTCTGGCCCAGGCTTGGTGCAAACAGCTCTGAGAAACAAACAAAGACACTGTCCCCATCCCTCTCTCCTCAAGGACAACACTGTGGGGAGGAGGGGACACTGGCCTCGCCCTGGTGGCCTGGACAGTCCTGCCTTGCCCAAGAAGCTCCAGGCCCTCCTAGTCTCAGCTGGGGGCTTCAGTTCACAGATGGGACTACACTTTGACTTTTCTTTCAAGTTTTCTTTTTTTTAATATACAAGTAGTATACTTTACACATAATATATGGCTATGCCATATGTTTAGCCTCATTTTTTAATTGCTTTTAGGGAGAAAGGCATGGAGAGAGAGAAACATCACTGTGAGAGAGAAATATCTGCCAATGGCCTCTCGTAGCACCCAGACCGGGGATGAGACCTGCACCTGAGGTGAGTGCCCTGCCGGGAATCGAACCCGCACCATCGCAGCTACAGGGCGATGCTCCAGCCGACTGGGGCCCATTGGCCAGAGCCGTGCCACACATTTGCTCACCAAGTCCTTACTGACGGGCTTTTAAAGAGTTTCTAATTGTTCTATTGAAAAAGTGTTTGAGGAGACACCCTTACAGCTAAATCTTGATGTACGACTTCAGTTATCGTCTTCAGGTAATTTCAAGAAGTGACACTGCCGGTCCAACGGCACGTGTGTTTTTAGCTTTTGGCCCACATTGCCCAACCACCCTCCAGGAAGTCCCAGCCACGTCACCGATGCCAGCACGAGGACGGGTGCTCGCGGCTCCACACGATCTCCCCCGCGGTCGCGATGCCCCTGGCTGACTCGGAGAGGGAAGTGTATTCCATTGCTGGGGGAGTTGCATTTCTCTCATTACCAGTGGGGCTGATGTCTCTTCATTTGTGTATTTCCTCTAATATGACGTGTTGGTTTGTAGATCTGTTCATTTTATAGGCCCGTAGAGTGGGAATATTTTTCTTAAAGATTAGAAGAGCTTCTCATGCATCAGGATGGTAACCCTTAGCAGATTAAATGTTGCAAATAATGTTGTCCATTTACTACTTGAATCTTTCATGGCTTTGAAAAAAGTAATTCTGTTCAAAGTCTTATTTAATCATGTCTAATAGTCTTTACTTTTACGGATTCTACTTTTGGTGTCATGCTTTCAAGGACGTCCCTACGAGGTTCGATTCTGATGCTCTAGTACTGGAATCTATCTACATGGTTAAATGTGTGAGGGATGATTTTTTTCTCCCCTTCCGCCCCCGCCAAATGTTTAAGCTCACTGTTTTAAAACCATCTCTTAAATAACCCATCCTCTCTTCAGTAGATTGGAAATGACACTTTAATCATATATTAAAGACATTCTCCCTCTCACACTCACACACACACACACACACACACACACACACACACAGAGGAACCTATTTCTGGACCTTTACCGTCCCCCGCTGATTTGTAAGCCCACTCCTACACTCGTACCAAACTGAAATTACTTTAGCCCATAACAACATTTTATTGATAATATCCAGAAGAATTACTTTTCTTTTAAATTGTTTTTCTTGGCTTTTGTACATGTTAATTCTTCTAGCTCAGAGGTTCTTATTGAAGGGCAGGCATCAGAATTGACAGTGAGGTGTTCTACAGACACAGATGACTGGTTTCCACCTCCAGCATGAAAAATCAAAGCCTCTAGGGTGTGAGCTAAGCACTAAGGAATGTGCCCAAGTGCAGAGGGGGTGAGAACCGTGACTCTAGATGACCTTCAGAATAAGCTTCTGAGGGTACAGGCCATGTCTGCCCGGTTACTGTTCCTTCCCAGACCTGGGATCTGCCACACAGGTGCCATTTTCATTAACATCTGTTTTGTGACCCGAAACCCTTGCTGTGTCCTTGGTGAAGAGCAGCTGAGTTATGCGTGGAGAGGACTGCTGTGCCCAGTATCGGCAGGAAGGACACGAGGAAGGGGGAGCAGAGGCACCCTATGTTCTTCGAGGACACAGAACAAGGGAGGAGGTTTCAGGGGTACTGTGTCGGCTCTTAGGAAGGGTCGGATCTACCAAAAAATGAAGACAGACGCCCACTGGTAGAATCGGTGGGCCAGCTCCCCTCCACTGGGCGTGTCTAGATGGTTTAGACAGAAAGTGTGTCATCCTCTTGTGGGGACAGGTTCAGGGAGGATTCCTGCATTTAAGGACTTGAGATCTGGCAATCTCTAAGATCTCTTCCACCAGCATTTAAAAATACTTACTTTTAAATATTCCGTTCGGGAGTTCTGTGATCAAAGAGAAAGGCTCTGGGCCCTTTCTTGTTGGTAAGAAAAATGCAGACTGAGCCCACAGGTCACGATCTAGGTAGCTGTCTGTTGCGGTCACTTTGACGTGGGGAAGGTGGGGTCCTGACCACGGCACACCCCGATAACCGCTAGGGGCCTAAAACACTCACCCTTGCCATGCGAAGTTTCGATAACCCAGGTGCAGTTCAAGTTGTTGGGGTAGAAGTCCGGGAACCCTGGCGACAGGATGGTCCCGCTAGAGCCTTGGATGAAGCCGCCGCAGAGTGCTGCGGGAGGGGAGAGGGCGGTGAAAGGCTGGAATGGCTCAAGACGCTCCCCCCAGTCCTCCCGGGGCCTGCCCCCATCTCCTTCCAGACCCACAACCTTCACTGGTGACGGCGGAAGAGTGCCCCTTTCAGCTCCGGTTTTTCACGCCGGAAAAGGAATCGCCACCTGAGTGCCCCCTCAGGGTGGGCCTCACCTTCACAGCTGGGCAGCGCCCGGCTCCACTGGAAATTGGGCTCACACTCCAGGGGCTCCCCGTCACTCAACGTGTAGCCCGAGTCGCAGCTGAAAGTCACCAGGGCGCCCACATAGAAGTCGTTTCCATGACGCTGCCCATTTACGGGGATCCCTGGATCCAGACAGTGGTCCGACTGCAGTGTTATAGCTGGAAGAGACAGCCCACAGCTGGGAAAAACCGCTCGCCACAGGAAAGGGACCCTGGCTGACTCATAAAGGGAGGGAGAGAGAGCCCCGCTTTACAGAAGGCCTGAGTTGTCACCTACGCCCCCATGAGACATGCCTGGCATAGTCTGCTAAGAGTATTTGAAGACCGAGCAGATGAGTTGGCTTGATCATTTGTTCATTCACGCCTTCATTCATTCAGTAAACATTGGCTGAGCATCGGCTAAGGCTTAGACACCACGCTGAAGCTAACGGATATAAACCTAAGTAAGGAAATGGCTGTGTCTTAGTGGTGCTCTCAGCCCTGACTTTCTGCGTGGTCTGTAGAGCTGCACTGATGTCAGTCTCTTTAAACCAAGCCACCAGCAACAAACACAGACGGTGATGAGAGAGGGTGGGCGAGTGGGAGACGCTGCCTCACTTCCACGTCACGCTCTGTCAAATACTCTGTCCCCGGAGTGCCCAACCCGGCACCACCCAAGTGTCTGCACACGAGGAGCCCGTGTGTGGGCCATCAGCTTTCACTGCTTCTAAAGGTTTGACTCTTTCTAAAGGTTCTTTAGGAAGAAACTTTCATTCTCTGTAAAGGCTGAGCCCTGAGAGACTCTGGGAGCCAGGGAGGGTGTCCCGAGGAGCACAGCCTTGACAATGCCAAGGGGACAGGGCCAGGCCGGGAGCCTACTGGGGGGGTACAGTCCTGGGTCCTCTCACCCACCGGGGCCAGCCCTGCCCCCTGCCTCCCCGAGACTCACTCTCATAGCGGAGCTGGAAGCCGATGTCGGAGTGGCTCTTGTCGGTGGAGAAGAGGAGGTAGAGGTAGTTGCTGGTGCTGATGAGGAACTGGGGCACCTGGGTCCCGTGGTAAACCCCGATCAGGGGCGCTGAGTACGTCCGTCCGTCTCGCACTTCCAGAGTATCGTAGTTCACCTCGGTTTTAAATCTGCCAGAGACAGACAGGAAGACTTCTTGAGAGGCCCAAAGTGTGTGAATGTGCAAATGACAAGAGGCCCCGTCTGACCCAGGGCTTTGGAACGATCGGACTTTGGCAGGCTGGGAACGCAATGCACACACACTCGCTGGCCAAGCGGCAGGACCTGCTGCTCTCCTGCATCTGAGCCCTTCCCCTCCCACGGTGGACACGCTCTCTCAGTCCTCTCTGTGGCCTGGGCCCTGACCTGTCTTAACACCTGGAGGCACAATGACTAAGACCCTCACGGGGGGTAGAATGTTCTAGGCCGGGGTCAGCTAACCACAGGCCAGGGCCAACTTGGTCTATAGCCCGTTTTTGTGCAGCCTGAGAGCAAAGAATGCTTTTTACATTATTAAAGCACTCCTTGCTCTCAGACTGTACAAAAGCATTATATAATTATATGTATTATTATTATTATATATATATATTTAAAGCAAAGACTATGTAACAGATATCCACAAGTGTTCACAAAAACCTAAAATATTTATATCTGGCCCTTCACAGAAAAGCTTGTAGACTGCTATGCTAGATCATGAATCCTTTGTCTAGAATTTTATGTTCATCTTTAAGTGGTGTCTTTCCCCACCCAAGGAGCATAGCCAGGGTGGGAGCAGGAAGCGGAGCATGGGAGCAGGTTTGGGCCAGAGGTCAGGAAGGCCGCCTTCCCACAGTGGACATTCCAGGGTTAGGCTCTGCAGATGCTGGTGCCTCCTTCAACATCTACCTGCCCACTCTCCCTCCTCTGACATCCCCAGCTTCTCCTCACCCCTCCAGTCAGAGTCCCTTCAACAGCACAAACCCCACTACTGAGGTGGGGCCAAGGCCAAGGGCAAAGTCAGCGCTGTCTGCCCCACCCAGGGCAGTCCGCTCCAGTGTTCTCCGACCTTGCTGACATGTGAGTGTCAGTGCTGGTCCCTACTCAGCCCCGGGGCCCTCCCACACCGCTGCTTGGAGATCACCTCTCACCCCGTACCCCTGGGGCTCTGGTCCTACGCACCTGTCGAAGGTGATTTTGATGGGGTAGCCTGGCTGGGCTTCGATCACCCAGGCACAGCTCAGAGAATCCTTGTAGAAGCCAGGCCAGCCGGGAGACAGGATGGTGCCGCTGGGCGAAGTCAGGTGACCACCGCAGGGAGCTGGGGGGCAGAGGGAGAAAAGCAGCTTTCTTGGGTGGACAAATGAACAAGCAAGCAAGCACAAAAAAAATCCTCTGTAAAAAAATGTGTCTGCCAACAAGTATTGTTTTTGTTTTCATGGAAAATTACATAAACTGTATAAACTGTGATTTCTGTCTTTTGGGACTCTTACAGATATTTTCAATCGCATCATTTGGAGTTTTATTAAAGGCCAGAGGGAAGAAATGACAAGAATCCTTTAGACAAAGTCCTTTGCCATTTGGGAAGGGCTCAAGCACAGCCCTTGGTTGGGCCACACTGGTATTTCTCTCTTCCTCCCTCCGTTGTCAGGCCAGTGGCAGAGGGAGAGGTCCCTGCAGCCCCTGCACCCGGTGCTCTGGCGCTGGAGAAGGGCGCAGCCCCCACGCTCAGCTTGGAGCCCCGTGAGGGCAGAGACCACAGTATTCGTCTCACACAACTTGGAACCCCCAGCATTTAGCCTAGAGCTTGGCACAGTTGCCCCCCTCTACCAAAAATCAGGAATCGTTGCTTGGATGAATCAGTGAGTGGACGGACGGGTCAGCAAATGCCACCTGCGCCTGGTGGTCTAGGCGTAGTTCCGGGCTCGCCAGGCCTGTTTCCCCAGTCCCTGCGTCTCTCTGCCCGTCCTCCCATCCCTCAGCTACCCGCCGCACCCACCTCTTTCCCCCTCACCCCTGCCTCTTCCTGCAGCTGGACCCGTGGCCTCTACTACGGTGGTCACAAGGGCTCTTCTGGTGCTCCTCCTCAGGGCACAGGGTCGGACCTCACTGTGGAGGTCATGCTAGGCCATGTGACCGCCTCGACCGATGAAATGAGAGAAGTGATACGTGCCATGTCCGTGTGGAAACCCTGGGTGCCAGGGCGTGGTTGGTGACGTTTCCTGCCTCGGGGACTGGGGCACAGAGTGCAAGTGGTGGTCCTGTCAGCCGGGCCTCTCGGTGACTCCGAGGAGCGGAGCCCCTGATGACCCTGTTATTTGTCCCTGTGTCTGGGTTACATTATGCTCCTGTTTGGAGGTCACTGAGACTTGGGGGTGGCTGTCAGCACTGCCTAACCTCGGCCACCCTGGCCAGGACACCGCCCTCCCCGCGCCCAAAGCGGCTGCTGCTGTCCCCGCCCCGCCGTGGCCTGGGAGCCCACTCACGCCAGGCATTTAGCTTCACGTCAGTAACCACGTTCACCCTTCACAAAACACAAGCCCGGGGAGGGGATGCTGATATTTTCTCCGTCTTATAGCTAAGTGAGCTGACGCCAGTGGGGGTGGGGTAACCAGCCCTGGGTTAGTGCGTGGGTGCACCTGGACTCACACCCAGGAACACGGCGTGAACCCAGAGGTCTTAAGCCAAGGGGCCTCCCCGGGTTAAAGGAACCCCTGCCTCCTTGGGATTTCCTCACCACGGGGCTACCAGATGCCAAAAGTGGCCTGAACAAGACTGGGGAGGGGATAAACAGCTACAAAGCAATTCTATCTCTACAAATTTTTGTACATTCCTCCAGGTAATCTGTTCCATAAAGTGCAGCCAAATGCAGCCCACTCTTCCTCTCTGAATTCCTGGAAACATCTAAAAGAACTGTCAAACATTCTTCATAGAAAGTTATATTAGGAAGTTTAATTAAGAAGGATCAATAATAATAATAATAATGGTGAAGATCACAGAAGACAACTCTTAATGATGGCAATGCTTGCTTTATTATCCCCGTTTTACAGAGGAGAAGACCAAGGCTAAATAGGCAGAGATTAGATCGAGAGCTAATGAGGTCAGAGTTGAGACTTAACCTCAAAACCTCCATCTCCCAAACTCCTCGGCAGCACATAACAGCTCTGCAACCACAGCCGACAGCCATGAGCTCGTGGACACTGAGAGCTTCCTATACACGTCAGGGCTTACGGATTAGCCTTGTGACAACTGCAACACTAAAAGGCAGACACTATTATCATCCTCACTGCATAGGCAGGGATTATCACCCTTTTCAGTAAGCTGAGGCTTGTAGAAACTAAGTAATTACATAGCACCTACATCAAACACTGAGAGTAAATAGCAAATGGGTATTATCACCTCCAGGATGAACCTAGTTTTCAAAACCCATCCATCCATCTCTCTGAAACGACTAAAGCTCTCTTTGCTCCACTTCTCCAATGGACACAGGAGATGTTGTAGGTGGGGAGGGGCATGCCAACCGCTCCGTCCCTGGGTCCCCCTGCAGGCACTGAACCTCCGCAGCCGTGGGGACTCTCTCTCGGCTCCAGTGGGACACAGGCCCAGCCGCTCCGGTTGCCGGACCCCGATCTGCTCACTCCCTTCCCAGGAAGCCCTCGGCTACTCTCCACTCAGTGCCCGTTTATCAGCACAGCCATGTCTACAGTCTCCAGGGAGGGAAGACTGACTCCCGGCTTCGCTAGTCTTTGTCTTCTCTCTCTGCCGGGTCGCTTTATCACCTCGGCCACCGCCTCTCTTCTGCTCACGTGGTGGTCCAACGACCTCTCTAATCTTGCAGCGCTTCCCTCTGTTAGCTCACCTTCATATTTCAGGCGGCAGCTGCCAGGCAGGGAGAAGGAGGGGAGGATTCCTAAATGCGTATCTCTTTAATATTGGAAAGGAGGCTCAACCTCACTCTCACTAATGAAATACAGATGAAAACTACAATGAGAAATTATTTCTCATCAGGTAGGCAAAACCCAAAGTTTGGTATATTCCAGAACCTTGCTGGTGGAGAGGCAGGGTGACACAGCCCCTATGAAGAAAAATTTGGTCATAGCCAGCAAAATTCATGTGTATTTACTCTACGACCCAGCAATTCTGTTTGCAGAACTCTATCTTCAAGATACACTAGCAAAACACGAAACGACACATGCATACATACACACATATATCTCCAAGGCTATACAAGGCAGCACTATTCGTAATAGAAAAAAATTGAAAACAGCCCAAATGTTTAGCAATGGGGAGCTGAGCGAATAAACTGGGGCAATCAACAACACGCATGAGGCAACCATACAACACGAATGAGGAATAGTCTATACATAATGTCAGGGAGGGGTCCCTAGAATATATGCAGTGAATAAAGGCAAGGTAGAGAAGCAAAAAGATAAGGCTATTCCATGATCCCATATCTAAAAAATGAGGAGACACACACATGCATTTACTCACATTAACAATCAATGAGAGAGTAACCCAAAATCCGAAGATGACCCACGGAAAGAGGGCGTGATAGGGTAGAGAGGATAGGGTTAGGGTAAGCTAGACTTCCTCAGTAGATACCTTCTCCTAGAGGTTTCAATTTGGAACTGAAAATATTTTGCACAATTAGAAAGAAATATTGAAGTTTGATAAGCCACCCCTCAAAACTCATAAAGCGGAGGGGATAAATGAATAAAATACTATATTAGTTGGCAGCATAATCACACATGGAGAAACTAGTCAAAGCAATTTAAAAACACTGTAATTTGATACCCCACCCTCAGTACGATACAGGGAAAAAAGAACAGAAAGAAAAGCACCTTAAACTATTTTCAGTAGTCGCCTTGCTGTGCGTAGGACTGGTGTTGCAATTCTGAGACTCTTGGGCATGGAAGCTGGTGTTGGTGGGAACTGGGAGTTTCAGCAAGAGTGGAAGGAGATACAGCTATGATATCAGGGAAGGCAAGGAAAAAGTGTTCTCGTATGGAAATGAAATGAACCCATGATGCATTTTATCTTTAAAAAACTCCTCCTTTGCTCTCTGTTCATTGAAAAGACTTAAAAACAAGGACCTACTCAATAATAATAAGCACCTCCAGAACCCAGATTCTAAATGCCATTTTTCACTTAACAAAGAAATCAGGGCCTTTGGAGAAACAGTTGATTCTAGGTCAGGGGCAGAAAGCATACAAGATGAGGTTGGGCTAATTTCAAAAGGCCCCCACTGGGACAACTGGAGAGTCAATTAGAGTAATAACAGCAATGGATTTAAATACATACAGTATGCTTAAATACATTGGACTTCAATAGTATTTAAAAATGTTCAACTGTGGCAGGTGTTAGGGGATCAACTCATTAATATGAAATTGGTAAATAAAGAAAAATAATTAAGTATTTTGCTTGCCTTTTCTTCAGGCACGACACCTCAGGGTAACCAAATCGTTGATGTGGGCAGGGTGCCTTTAAGCACGCCGGCTTACGAAAGAAGAGAAAACGACAGCACAGGACCACTGAGAGATCCCCAGACTAGGGTCCTGGACGGCTCCTGATGTTCCCCAAAGAGGGAAAACCAGACATCATGTGCCTCTGATGGAGGCCCAGAGCCCTGCTTATAAAACATTCTGCTTATAGAACCTAAATCTAATTAGGTTTCTAGATATTACTGCCAATTAGAGGGAATATAAAATCGAGAAGATCATGTTAAACAACCTCCGAGGGATGTAGTCACCAAAATTCAGAGTGCAAGAGACCGCTCAGGGTAAGTGTGACCTGGTTCCTCCAACCCATCAGTGCAGGGGCTGGGAGAGCCACAGAGGACTCGAGACACATAGGCCAATTGTAACGTGAAAGCCTAACTAGGATTCTGACTTAAAAACAACAACAACAACTGTAAAAGAAAGGACTAGATAATCATGGGAATTTGATTGTATTAAGTCATTATTTTATTTTTTAAGATAAGGGTATTGTGGTTTTGTTTTAAGGAGTGCTTTTTTATCTGTTAGAGATGCACATTAAAATGTTGTGGATGAAACATTTTGCCTGAAATGTGCTTCCCAGTAATCCCCCGAGCAGGGTGGTGGTGGGTGGTCCAGTAAAATGAAACAAAATGAAACAAGCTTTGCCGTGAGTTTGTAATTGTTGGAGCTGGGTGATGGCTGCACGGGGGCTCATTACACTGCTCGCTCTGCTGGAAATTTTCATGACAAACGTTGGGGCAAACAAAAGAAGTGAAAGCAGTGACTCAAGCAGACATCCATGCAGCTCCGTCATCGCAGCGTTATTCACAGCAGCTAAAGGGAG